CACGGCCACAACGTGGAATTCTCACCACTAAACTACAGCCACAATTGTGTCAAATTAGAGCTTCCACGATATAAGTCTCAAAATATCTCCTTCGAGACCTTCTATACGCACTTGACGGGAACCTTCTGTACACGCTTTCTTCCGTTGAGGTCACACTACCGGAAGTTAAGCCCGTGATAAAACCTAATTAGAGCACGAATATTTCCCACAAAAAAAAACCTAGGGTCAAATTGCCTAGAGAACGAGTATTTCCCAGATTTTTTTAACAAATTTAACCAATATCTTAATGCCTGTAAATAAACTAGGGCATGACACAAGTCACAAAAGAGCAGACTATAGAGTAGGTAGCTGTGAAGCCGAGGGCACAGTGTGTATGTCACTGTGGGCCGATAGACAAGGCCAACATATTGAGGTGGTTTTCGCAAAATAAAAAAAAAAAATTGAGGCAGTAACAACTGCTTAAGATGCTCAAACAGTCAGAGCAGGAACAATGCAAACTTTGCTTTGAACATTGTTTGAACTGCAAATGGCAGCTTATTTACATCAGCATTTGTCCTTTCTGCTTCAAATTCAGACTTGTAATTTTGTGCTGGCCTAGACCTTGTATATCGCTCGATTGCACCTAATTGCATGGAACCTCCCACCACACAGCCGGCCATCATCTACTAAAGCAACACCATATCGTTGGAGTTATCATCACAAAAGAATTCATTGCAAAACTAACTGCTGTTATCTGGAATTTCTGGTGGACAGGCATTAAAAAGGATAGTTCTTCTAGAAGCCTTTGTCAGAGAGCTTGGAAGGATATCTACAGTTCCAAACAAGAGGGAAGCTTGGGTATTAGAAATCTCCAGGCCATGAATCAGGGCCTTATCCTTTCTACTGCCTGGAGAATTGCTACTTCTCCCGACTCTCATCTTCATCTGATCCTGAAGTCCAAATATTTTGTTGATTCTTCTCTCTGGAATGCTGCTTCCAACTTGCCTAAATCTACTTTCTGGACTTCCATTCTCAAATGGGAAACGTTTCACGCCGGTCGACCGGCTGAAACTCCGCCGGTCAAGTCCACGCTGGCAACAGGCCCACCCACCACCGCTTAAGCCTGTCTCTATCATCCCGCACGATTCACTCCACCATTTATTCCCTTTCCTTATCCTCTCGCCCATCTTCTCCCCGTTGCTCCCCAAATAAACTCTTGCCGGTGATGACCGCCGTCAATGTCGCGAGCAGCCATCATCCACATGCCCCTGCTGCTCCGGCGAGCAGCCGCCATCCACTCACCCCCGCGCTACTCCGGCGAGTGGCCGCCATCCACCCGCCCCGCGCTACACCGGCGAGCGGCCGCCCATCCATCAGCGCGGCTGTGCGGCAACCCAGCTTGCGGCGTGGGATTGGGCGCTTCAAACGGCGGCGACCATGCTACAACGACGACGAGCGGGAGTGGCAACCGGTGGCACGCGACGGCAGCGACCAAGGATGACCGCAGGCTGCCACCGGTGCTGCAAACCACAAGCAATTTTGCTGGAAGCTGCCGTCAGAGAAGCTGGAAGCGACAATGCGAGGAGCTACAACCAACATCGGCGGCGACTCCAACATGCTACAACCGGCAAATCATGAGCTACAACCGGCATTTATTCTTGCTTGTACCGGCATCATGATTTGCTGGAACCACTGTCTTTTTTTGCTGGAATCGGAAACAGTTTTTGCTATCATCTTTTTTGATTTGCTAGATCAGACCAAGTTTTGCTACTACCGTATTTTAATTTTGCTGGAAGTAGCCTGGTTTTTTGCTACAACCGTATTCTGGTTTTGCAACGGCGGCCATTTTCTGCGACCGGCGACGGCGACGGTGGCCATTTTTGCTACAACCGTGTCAAAGTTTTGCTACTACCGTCTGTGTTTTTGCTACATCCATTCATGAAGCTGTGGTGCTTTTTTACGACATTTTTGTTGCAACAACCTTGTTTTTTGCTACTACTGGAGACGTGTTTTGCTACATCCATTCACGAGGCCATGGTGCTTCAAGCGCGGCGGCGAGTTCCGGCGGCGTTTTTGCTACAACTGTCTGAATTTTTGCTACGTCCATTCACGGATTAGCTGCAACCGCGGCGAGTGTTGCATGTGTCAATGGCCGGCGGCGGCGGAGTTGCGACGGCTTCGTCGCCCAGGTGCGGCCGACGGCGGAGGTGGCTAGCTGCCATCCGTGGCGAGGCTGGTGCGGCGAGGTGCAGGTTGCTGCGAGGTCAACGACCGGCGGGGGCGTCCCGCGGTGCGGTGCGGCGGGGGGCGGCTGCGGTGGGGAGAATTTTCTCGAAGGAATCTCACGCAGATCTGACGGCCCTGGCTGGCGCATCGGACGGCTGGTGCTGGACCGGCCCAACGGTTGGGCCGGCGCACCGGCGCAGATCAACGCCCTTCTCAAATTGCTTCCTAAGCTCAAAGCCCATTCTTTCTTTCAAATCACTCAAGGTAATATTTCTCTTTGGAGCACACCTTGGTACTAAATGTTGGAATAATGATTTGATTAACACTCTTTTCAAGAACCTACAACCTCTACCATCATTAGCATGCTGATTATTAATGATGATACTCCCGATCTTCTTGTTTGGGATCTCACACCCAATGGCAAATGTAATTCTAAAAGTGCTTATAAGCTTTGTTTGCAGGACATTTAGAATAACTCAAACAAAACACCTTCGCAGGTTCCTTCTTTGGTTAAAAAAATCGTTGGCTTCTCTAATTTCCATAGCAATGGTCTCAATGTGGGCTACGATATTAATTAAATGAATCTCTGGTAAATAAATTGTTCTTTACAGATTGTCTTTGCCTTGCAAACGGAACCTTATTTCCCATATTTCATCATCCAAACTAAAAGCAAACTTTAGTTTGCTACCCCAATCCCATAAT